ACAGATGGGGGGACGGGGGGGGGGCAGGGGGGGGTGAGCGTGGCTGGCCCAGAGCGGCACCCGGGGAACCCTACACAGGCTGGGAAAGCCTTACGAGCTCCGCGTCTGTCCTTCTGAAGAATAAGGAGTTCCTTTTTTGCCCGGCCCCTAGCGCGCCTCTGGGCATATAGACATACCATGGTATATATGTTCCCACCGCGACGGCCAATCAGTGCTGGGCTGCTCACTACACATATTTATAGCTCGTCTAGTGAATTTGGGGGTGTGAGATAGGGGTCGACTGGGATTACAGGTCCAGGCTCTCCTGTCGACCCATAGAGTAAAGAGAGAGCAACGTTCACCTGCTTTACCCGTTTCCCAAGGTTGGCTAAAAGGCTGCGTAACAGCCCACTGAAGTGTGAATCCAATGTGCTTTTTAAAACAATTAATTTTAACAGCGAGTGTTTTGTAGGTGAGTTTTAAGAAAGGTGTAAAGTAGTAAAGTAGAGAGAGATGGGAAGGGAGAGGCAGTGAGAGGCAGTGAGAGGGAGAGAGAGAGAGAGAGAGAGAACTTGTTTGGTTCAGGAACCATTTAACGACTTCCCCTGGAAATTGAAAAAGGAAATAGTTTTGGGATGGATGGCAGTGGAGGGGGTTTGGGGGGTGGGGGCTGTAAGCCTATATGAATACCAGATGAGACGAACATGAAGCCAAGCTGGGCAGAAGACAGGCTGGGGGCTGGGGGCTGGGACAGAACAGTGGTTTGGGGGTTAGGGAAGGGGTGGCTGGTGTTTATGAGGTCATTTACCAAACTCGTGTTTTCAACATTTCCTCTAGACTTTAATTTTTCGGCTTTGTTCCCCCCTAATTGCTTCCATCCACGTGCAGATGCAGCTACTCCTCCACTCTGAGTTCGCTGCAGAAACAGGAAGATCCATCCGATCCTCATGCATCTGCGCCGCCACCAAGCTCACTGAGTACCGCCGTAAATTATCAGTTTGGTGTCACCGTCAAATTTACACGTACTATCGTTTGCAGCTCCAGAGCTGAAGCACGGCTCAGGTTTAACGTTTTATACGGCCCTAGCTGCCTGTATTAATGTGCATGTACCGTATCCCCAGGACGTATTTGCAATTTTTCATATTTAACAGCATCAAGGCTTCAGGAAACAAATTGAGCATGAAAACATCACCTAACCAGAAGCACATGTGCTCCACTTACATTCAACAACACATAAAGCCATGTTCAAATCATCCCTGCACCAAAAACAGGACAAGCTTCCTAACAAATATCATATAATAACTGCAGTTTGTAAGCTAATGAGAGATTGATGACTACCCTACATAACCCGACATAATGACTATGTTCTCAGGCTCATTTGGACTGTAACACGTGGCTTTTCAGACGCAGATGCTGATTGGTTTGGCAAAAACTCTCCCTGGAAAAAAAATACTTTGATGATCTTTCTGGAAATAATCTAATACTACCAAACCGGCAAGACATAATCAGCTCTCTGTAAAGATGCATATGAGTAGCACTTTAAATAACACATTTTTACAGAAATGTTGTTAATGTATTATAAATAAACATTGCAGTTAATTTTAAACACTACCAACTAAATTGCTTTTTGCAAAAAAGAAACAGTTTATTTTACGCTATGGCTAACTGAATCAAATAAACCTGTTGTATTTTTCTAAATGTGACTATGTTCAGCAAATGGTCTAATTGCACTTACATTGAGCGGGCATGTTTGTTTAACTGGAATTTAAATTTCATCCTCTCTAGCCTGATTTTGTACTGACTTTAATGATTGCATTAATTGCTAACTAATCTTTTAACAATGTAATGTATTTTTTATTTTTTCCTATAGATATCTAATTGACTTATACTTGGTATTAATTAAATACTACAAAAAATAGGAAGACAAACAATGGGAGCCACAAAAATATATTCTAAGCTTGATAATGCCTCTGATATTCCTCAGTCTTCTGTACAGCTTATAGATTCTAAACTGTTATTTTGCAAACAGTATTTTACATTATGCATGTTCTTCGAAAATATTCAAAATGAAAATATATTGTACATACTTAATAATGTTATATGTAAATGCAAGTCAGCCAGAAACAACAGATTTTTAATATTTTCTGTAATGAAGAAATGTTTTGCATTCAATTTTATATGCAAGTCATCCATTATGTTTGATGGGTCAGTGTCATGTTGTAATATCATTAATGAGCGTATAATTAAGTGAGGTGGACAACCTGAACACTCAATGTTTGCAGTGAAAACTTGTCAGCCTTTGGCGCTGACAGTATTAGACATCAGCAATTTTTATTTTTTTTTCATTTTTATTTAGAGATCTGTCCCAATGCAAAGGGCCCAATATTAAGTGTTGTCCTATTGGTGGCAGACCGGTGCTCTCAGTCAAGGGTAAACTTGAATTAAAGGGGTTTCAGAGTCTTCTGGGGAGAACTGAACAGAATGCAGACATGAACGTGCACCTTCTTACCGCAGGTTTTAGCTACTGCACTGACTGCTCTGCTGGTTGGCTGTAGAGTTGGGGAACTTCTCTGTAATGTTTACACATTTAGCCAGAACATTGTTGTGTTGCAGATATTAGCTGGGTGATTAGCATCAGAACTTCTGACGGGAGAGGGAGTGACAGAAGGGGTGTGCTGTGAACAGATATACACAGAGCTTCTGGGGAGGATCACCTCAAAACAAACAACCCCAAGGGGACAAAAGGTCAACAGAAAGGATGAAAAGAGACAGGGATTCTGTGGCAGAGAGGGAAATCTCCATGGTTACAGGGACGCCTGCTGCTTAACAAGATGGCAGCAGGAGGCTCCTAATATGTCGCCACACGGGAAATATCTGTTCAGGCAATATTTATGGTAGGTGTTGCAACCTTTTTCTACTGAAAGGTTTTCTGAGAATTAAAGAAAGAACATCATGAATTTGCAGATTATTGAAAGGGTGTACCCTTAAAGTATGAACACTATAACAATGGACCTGGATTGGGCTTGTATGTATTTGAACAAAACTACTTCACATCATTGCTGTGCAATAGATGCTGATGCTGCTGTTATGTGCGGTGCTGCAGCAATGAGTCCCTTACTCATAGTCTTAGTGCCACTGTGCTGCAGCAATGAGTCCCTTACTCATAGTCTTAGTGCCACTGTGCTGCAGCAATGAGTCCCTTACTCATAGTCTTAGTCCCACTAACCCCCTACCTTGAGAACAATCAGAACAATATAACCTAGCTCCTCCTTTTATTTCCTGCTGGAACAGTTAGAGAAATTTGACAGAAATTATTTGTTACTAGATGGAGAGGATGCAAGACTAGTCAGATCTTAATGCACAGAGTGTAATATTGTAATGTTTAAAGTACTTCTATTACCTGAACTGAAATTTTCAAATGGCTCACAATTTCAAAGAGCTTACCCCGGTCATGATGATGGGGGGTGGAGTACACACCCTGCACAGCCTGAGGACTTTGAGAGGAATTCAGTGCACCTGGAGGAATCCTTCCAAACATGAGTAGAGCATGTAAAGTCCACACACGGATAGCAGAGGGGGGATCTGAACATGCACACTCCACACACAGAGAGTGGAGGTGGGATTCAAACACACAAACTCCACACGCAGAAAGTGGAAATGGGATTCAAATATGCAAACTCTATACTCTTTGAACCTGCAAACTACTCACACAGAGAGTAGAGGTGGGATTCAAACATGCAAACTCCAGACACAAAGAATGGAAATGGGATTCAAACACGAACATTCCATACACAAAAAGTGGAAATGGGGTTCAAACATGCAAACTCCACACACAGAATGTGGTGGTGTGATTCGAACATGCAAACTCCACACGGAGAGCAGAGATGGGATTCAAACTCACAACCCTGGGAGAGTTACCCACATTACAGCCCTTTGCATAAACATGTCTGTATAAAAATAAACACACTAACGCCAACTTCCTAATATTCCTAATATTATCCACCATAAGAGAAATTAAGTAAAGCAAATATTTAAAAAATGTGTTAACAATTTTCCTATTGATGACAGCAGAAGTTATTGTAAAGAAACAGATTAACAGGCTATGGAGGAACAGATACTGGCCTAAAATCAACAGCTCTTTGTCAGTGAAGTATACTTGTGATGGATAGTTAAGTTCTGGTCCCAGTGGGGGGCAGTAGCTTGACTTCTCTTTACTGGGACCTTTGCACAGGTAGAGTGTAAAACTATAAGCTGTTTTTATCACTTGGGAGGTAAGTCATTGGCAGGGTTTCTGGAATATGAGCAAAGCCTTCACTCGAATTCCAGTTTCATTTTTTAAAAACATTGCATATAGGGTTACAGGTTTAGCCTTGAGCCAATCACTTGTCAAATTGAATTAAAGGTAGCTACTGTGTCCTGCCTACCAGGATGATCTTGCCAGGGGCCTTGAGGCATGTGATAGGGCGACAATGAAGACGTGTGTATCCTCAGTGCCTGTGTTTCCCAATCCGCTCCTGGGGACCCACAGACAGTCCACGTTTTCGCTCCCTCCCAGCACTCAAAAACCTGGACTGCCTGGCAGAGAGCAGGGAGGGAGTAAAAACGTCCTGGGTCCCCAAGGACTGGGTTGGGAAACCCTGCTCCATGCTGCACAAGGGCGTAACTTTGGCTGGAACACTGGGGGGGTCGAGGTCTCCACCCATTACAGGGGAAACATGATTATTGGGGGGGTTATATTGGCTGGATCTGATTATTGGGGGGGTCATGACCCCCCCTAACCCCCCTGGAAATTACGCCCATGATGCCCCACAGATCATCACTACAATGCCACTTTAAAAGCTGTCGCGCACCATGCAATCCCACTGCTGCTGTGCAACACAATACTCCACAGACTGGGAAGCTGGGGTGTGAAAACACCAGTTTATTTCGATTTTTAGTAGACATGTTTATCCAGATTGAATTAAAATTACAATTACAATTGTAATTGTATTTTAATTATTTTCACATGAATAGAGATTTTACTGATAGGTTAAATGCCTTTCTCATAAGAATTCAATCAGAATTCCACAATCTTAACCACTATGTCACCTTCTAACCCTTTTCAGGAATTAGTCTACTGAGATAAAGTCACATACCTATGCCTCATCAAAACTGCAACGCCACAGCCTTCATTTACACTTAGTCTTTTCTTGGTATCTCCATAAACCAGCCCATAAACGTGTGCTATGGTATTCCCGTTGCCATGTGACCAGGCTCGGGATAAGTGGTTGGAAGTTTAACAGTTTAAAATACATATTTTCAAAACATATTTAATAAGCGCATTTTATAAAAATGTGTTAATCATTAATTTTAAGATGTAATAATTATGGCTACATGGAAATGATGAACTGCAATGAAGATCATTCATAATCTTTCCCTTTTTACAATATACCATGTAGGAGGGTTGTGATAAACTCACATAACGTGATAATGGTCATGCAAAATCCAATATTTAAGTTCAGTAAGCGCAGAAAGTTACCAAGTTTGCATGAACATGCATTTGTTGAAGGCAAAAAAATGTTGTGTGATGACCCTCTCAGAAGCAGCAGACATAAAACACATGCCAAATACAGCTTTAATGTATTGGAAATCATTATATGTGACTCTGTCCAAGATCTCATATCTATGAAGACACATCACACATAAGCATGTTGCTCTAATTGGACTGTTACTGTAATGTGCTTTAATGTACTGCAACAGAAGCTGTGATTTCAATGGATCATTTGGGGGCAATCTGCCGTGTTAACAGGAATGTCTTCATCAATGAGATGCACCCAAGGGGCTTATTCAAATTACTTTAGAACATGAAAACCGAACGGCTTTCACACGGCTGTCTTGTATTATCTTTTTACTGTTTTATGTATGAATATTGATGGTTGATACTATATATGCACACAAATTCTATTTCTATACAATAAATCTATTTAACTTTTTATGTAGATGTTTATTAACTGTCTTTATATATGGAATTAGCACTCAAATGTCACATATATATATATATTTTTTTTTTTTTTAAAAAGAATTAACAGCAGAAATAGGTTTTTCCTAAAATACAAGCATATGTACATACATTTTAACAACATGATTACATTTACAAATACGTCTCCCAGGCAACAGAAACCAAATGTTATGACAAAAAACTGTACTGTACTTCACTTTGTTAATGTCCTTTTTCAGTTCCAGCTCAGAATATCCCGGGAAAAGGAGGAGGTAGGGCGCCCTCTTGTGTTCATTATCCAATAGGACGAAAACAGCTTTACGCGATAAATATCTCTGCAGCTCACGAATCTGGCAGACGTTGATAAAACCTGGAGTAGTCACAAAAATAGCAATAATAACTACTGTTATGGAAAAACAAAAATAAAATGGGCTGTCATGAAATATCAATCTGCCTGCATAATCTTTGATCTGACCTGACTGTGTTTGGCTCCCACACCTGACACTGGTGGGCAGTCTTCAGGTTGCCTTTAAATGCAGGGTTCATTTCTAGCTTAACTGTCACATGCAGACGGTTGGACGGAGTTCAGGGCGTGCAGAATGCATGCCATGCTAAGTGTCGGGTGGGGTAGGTCACCGAGATCAACACCGCCCCTAATTATCTCAGGACCTTTCCCTAAACGGCCGTGACACATTGGACAGCTAGAGACAGCACAGGTCCATACCACAAATACTACTTAATTAGCTTGCCAGTTTTACTGCTGTCTTTCTTAATTTTCTTTCTATCTATCTATCTATCTATCTATCTATCTATCTATCTATCTATCTATCTAACTATCTATCTATCTATCAAGCACACACACAATACTACAATGCAGTACTACAATAAAACAACAACACAGATAAATTGGTGAACTCTGACCCAGAATTACGTGCCATGCTGAAGGGGAAGGTATTCCCATATACTCAGGGGTCAGGAAACCTGCAGATTTCTGCATTAAAAAAACAGCAACACTGACCTTCTTTGTGACTTCCGGTATTAGGAGCCTCTGACTGCCATTAAATGGGTTATTTAGTTTACAGGACACACATCCCCACGGGCAGAGCTCACAGAGATGCTGTTCCGGAGAAGCCGCCGTACTCCCAGGCTGAGCCACTTTCATGTCTGCCAGATTGACTGACACTGCTCATGTTAACTGCAAGTGAAATTAGGACAGAACAAACACCATAAAACCCAAAGGAACTACGCTTTTCACAGCTGTTTTTTAAGTCGTAACATGTGTCCACATTGCAGCAGATTTATTGCTATAGTACTCTGGAAAAAAATGGACTATCTTACTTTTAAACAGAAAGAAGTGGACACAGAAATGGACATTTAATAAAGGTTGATAGGAATTAAATATGAACAAAGTATACATTGTATACCAAAATGAATTCAAACGTACCAGAGATGTTCCCACAAAGTTATTAAACAAAAAGAAATGGATTTTCATTGAAATGAGACATTTGCTTTGCATTTACCAGTAACGTCTCTCACACGAGACTTCTCATCTGGTAGAGATTGCTTTGAAACTCTTGATACACAATGCAGAAAAAAACAAAACCAGGAAAAAAAAACCAACAATACCATGTAACAATGAAATCTTTTATGCAAATTGGATTTTTAACCATTTTAGGTTGCCATTGTGAGGATGCATGTCCAACAATGGTGGTAATGGTGGCGGTGGAATTTTTGTTCCATTTTGTTTTAATCGGGTTGTTTTTTCTTCTTCTTCTTTCCAGAATGATCACTAAAAGAATAGAACTTTTCTTCTTGGGGCATTTTCAAAGAATTCTTCCCATTTCTTTTAATTCAATCAGCATTGTCAATTCAATGTACCAAGCTTAGCTGTGATCCCTTTTATGGTTTGTTTACTGTAAACAGCATGATATCCATCTTGAGGACAAAACCCGTGAGGTAAGATCATCAAATAGCAGGTTTTCTTATTGTGAGAATTATAAACCCCCCATGGAATATGAATAAAGTGTGGTGCGCCTAGATTTAGAGGAGTTGAATTGATTAATATTTTCAGTAATATATTAACTATAAAACGTTACTATTAAAATCAGTTTATATTCTGTTTAAACCAATAATGATAAAAAAAAATTAAACAAAACACACCTAAGAAGGTACATAATAATACAATATAAACACGAATATACACGCACACACACAAACATGCAATACCGACAAAGCCTGTAAATATGTATTATATTCTATCTGAAAGAGCTTATGAATGAAGAGTAGTTCACCGAGTGACCAAAAAAAACCTCTTTTGTTATAGTTTTCCTTGTGAACCTCAACATGTAGAAAACAGGGAGCGATTCACAGAGTAGCGTGACTGCGCTTGCTACAATTAGGCAGTGATGGACAGCTTGACTCGGCTGCGATTTTATCCACAAGCAACAAAGACACGCGCCGTGGTCTTCGGGGACTCGCATCATTTAAGGCATTCTTATCTGCTTCAGGGTGACGGCTGAGCCCCCGGGCTCCAGGGAGCTGCCCGAACGCCGCGCAATTCATCTTGAAAAATGAGAAGAAAAATGCAGGTGGAGGCGTATAATTGACTAACCAAATATTCTTAGGGATTTAGTTTTTTCCTTTATACGACAAAGAAACCATCAATACATTTCTGGGTATAGCTTCTTTAAAGCACACTGAACAGGAAGGCCTTATGATTTATAGGAGCAACCCTGCTGCTTAGTAAACATAGCCTACATAGCTCTCCGTGACTCATTAGTTAGCCTATCTTTACCCACATAGACTCAGAGCAGTCGCCTACACCATATACTGTATTAGGCCTAACTTTGAAAACCCATTTTAGACCGCCGGCCATAGACCTACATGAGCGCGTACGTGTTGGTAATATTGAACAAAATGTTTAACAGATTCGGGGCACGGATTTCAAATTGCTTGAACTGGCATTAGGCGATTTCCCTTACATGCATTTTATTTTAATAAGCGGGAGCAGCGTCTAATCCACAATTAAAAGTGAAGGGTAAAACTTAATTTGGGCTGGGACGGGGCACAATTATCCACAATTCTTCGTTTTTATCAAGTCATTGCAGGTGAGATTGCATAATAATAATAATAATAATACTAATTTCCGCAGTTTATAATTTCCGTCCAGCAAAATGACTGCAACAGATTATATCCGCGATCTACTGTCACTGCTGATAAACTGTGCAAATAGGCCTACTTGTATCTATGACTAAATATTGTTAGGCCTATATAGTTAAACTAATACCTGTACCTGTATTTGTTTACGTTTCCAGAAGTAAGAATTAAAACAGACACGCACTTGCACGGTTAAACCATTCAGAGAATGTTAAAATGAAACATCCACCTAAACAGATTATGACAATGCGATTTCGTTACGGCACTAATTATTAATATTTCAAAAATGTATAAATTATTCTCTTGTCAGACATTCATTTCATTGCTTAAGGCACCAGCGTAAAAAATGACGTTAAAGATAAGAAAGGTGTTTAACCAGGTCTTGTATTTTTTATTTAATATATCTTACGTTTTATTTATCGTTGCATGTCGGAGTGCTTAAAACTGCATTAGGCTATATTATATTGAGACGAACCGAATATTACCAATTAATATAGTGAGTCGTACACGTGTTGTGTTTTACACATAAATTAATCTCAGTTTGCCGTATATCATTGTTCCCTCGGGAGGACAGTTCTCCTTGCTTGACTGACCGCACACAGCAGGATTTATCCCATTTTTGGCGAATGTGTGAAATATAGCACTTATTCTCCGCCCGAAGTAATAAAAATTTAAGTGTACATTTAAAGCTTTAAAGAATTTAATGAAGGCGGCAAAGATTATAACCTTTACTTAACTTATTAAGAAACCGGAGTGAAATTCACACAAATGTATATGAGTGTATGGAAAGCAATCTAAAAAAGAAAAGAAAAACGTAATTGTGTTTTCAGAGTGTGAGATAGATTTGCTGAATTTTAGTAGTCTCTCCGCCAACTCCCCCCCCCAAAAAAACGACTTTCCTTTGATCTGTGTTGTGCTACAACAGTGTGAAAAAAATAAAATAAAGAGCTAAGTTCCTTTCCACCTTGAAGGTCTCCCCTTCTCTGTAGGAGAGGGAGACATGGGGATATATCCTCAGACTTAAGTCTCTCTATCCTTTTCTTCTTAAATTACTTTTATGGCATTATTAGGTGTCATAATAAAGAGTGCCGTGTGTTTTTTCTCATTTGCTTGCTCAACAGGTGCTATCATCCATGAGTATAGAGAACAAATGAAATACTATCCTTCATGCGGAAGAACACCTAACAGGCAATTCCGCTGAAGTGTCTTTCCATAGGGCACATATGCCGAGCCTGTTCTAAATCCACTGCCTTCCCAGTAACAATGCTGTTGGCAGATATAAAGGTAACATCACTGTTATTCATTTTACAACTAAAAATTACCTTTAAACTACAACCCAGTTTTTCAAGGTAATATATGTGAATGTATATAGCATTTGTGACAATGACATTTATGTATCTTGTCACTAAACCTTCCCATCGGACATGAGGAAAAAAAATACAATCGGTTTAGCACTCAATAGCTTAACGTTCAACTTAGCTGACTGTTATGAATGTTTTTACTGTGGTAACTGTCATTTCAAGGATGGTTAAAAAGGGTTGAAAAGGAGAATTCCATGCATACAGGTGAGTTGTTTTCCTTTACGAGATGATGTTTGATGTTTCCATGAAATTTACATTATTCAGTAGGCGCTTTTATCTGAAGCGACGTATAATTGAGAGAGCCGGGTCAGACAGTCCCTGGAGCGACTGGGGATTAAGAGCCTTGCTCAAGGGCCCAACGGTGACATCACTCTGCCAAGCCTGGGATATGAACCGGCAACCTTCCAGTGACGGGCACAGAGCCACACTCCACCCACACACTCCACCAGTTAAATTACACGCACCTTGAAAATGAGCATCGCCATGGACACCAAAGTATGTATTAGCCTTTACACTACAACCTTATGATTCCTTACTGATTGCCCATAAATAGAAATATACAAAATTAAAAGTGAAAGTGCAAATATATATAGAATCTTTTTCTGATCACACTGTCGTCAGCCACTGCAGTTTATTTCTGATTGTCTATTGCAGGATGATTTGATCTGTTCTACAGCAACATGCTTATATCACAGTACTTGCAGTTAGACCTTTACTTTTAAATTGTTTTGGGGTGGATGAGTGATTATACCTGCTTTAGAGCCCTGGGGGGGGGTGCAACTGTCATGGGCCCCACAAATGAATGTGGGGGTGTTGGGGAGGATGCACCCCTGTAATAGGGCCTTTGAAATTAGTTTGATGTTTATGGGTGTAGATTTGGGTAAAGTTTGAAATCTTCTCCCTCAGACTCCTGTCGTGAGCGGCTTAGGGAGAACTCCCCTCCTGTCTTTTTCTAGATTCTAATTGGTAGATTTCCATACATCCTTGCTGCTACAGAGCGGTAAGGAAATTCTACAGAATGCTGAGATTCTGTTCTGCGATCGGATAAAACATCCTGCTACCAGCTGCGATCCCCTTCACCCGGAAGTATGAAAAGCAGAACGGCAATGGCATTATAACCTGCAGAGGAAAACATGAAATCTAAGATTTCAGTCTGAAGGAGAGGTGCACTGCAGCTAATGATACTTGATTTCTGTCTTGAGGCACAGTTAATTTCAGTAATTTGCCATGCAAATATCAGAAACAGCATATTAAAAAATAAAAATAAATTTGACACGGCATATTCAGGTTTTTCATTGCTAAATTTGGATGTCCTTAATATTTTAGATGACTAAAGTGAAGGAACTCAACATGAATTATAACTGAAAGAAAATCTGTCCATCCATCCATCCATTTTCCATACCAGCCTATCCTAGGCAGGGTTGCGGGGGTCCGCAGCCAATGCCAGAAGCTAGGGGCATATGGCAGGGAATACCTCCACATAAATAAATGATAAATAAATCAAATCATCGTCTTGAAGTCTGTAGCTCATACTCACCATGTTTCCAGTCTCCGATCTAACCCCATCATCTGAGCTTGATAAGATTGGGAATTGTTCCCAGAGGCAGGCAGGCACTGAAAGATTCTCCTGCTGTCAGTGGGAGTAAACAGAGCAGGTGGGAACGTGCTATTGTTGCATTTTAATTTATCCTCTAATTGTAAATCAGTGGGGTGTCATGAACAAACAGGCTTGGCACAGTCAGGTTGCTTTGCATGCATCCCTGCTAAATATCGTGTTTTTTTTATTCAGTTCTTACTCGCTGTGTAAGATGTTTGTATGGCGCAGTCTGAAATTTTACTGCCTGTTTCACGCAGTATTTTTACTAAGCCAATTTCAGTACATGGGACAGAAGACTTTGAAACCTCTTATCACAAGTAAGGTTGGCCATTGTTTGTATTTGCAATGTTCAATATTCTTCCTAGAAGTAACCAGGTAATAAGAACAAAGCATACAGGGAAAATCTAAATTATATACAGTAATACAGTTTATACATGTAAACTGTTATACAAATTTATATGCAACTTTATGTAACAGGCTTTTGAAGTTTTTCGTTAATTGTGACACCTTTTTTTGTATCAAAATTGCATAAATGGTCCCGTGGTCGTCCCCAATGCGTTTCTAATTAGAAATGAAACATCTCAGTGTTGACATGATTTGCTGGCTTCTGCCGCTTTGAAGCCGTGATCTGCCTTCACCGCATTTGACTTTGATGAATTTATAGCCCGGGACCCCGGGCAATTAGTGAAAGTGCCACTTGGAGAGAAATGGCTGGCATGCTTCTTTTTTAATGCCGTCTTTCTTCTCAGAGGCTGCAGTGAAGAGAAGGATCTCAGGAAAAGTTGTGCTGGATTACAGTTTGATCCGTTTTGAGCCATCATCTAACAGCGCACTGAGGGTCATGCACGCCAGTCATTCAGCTCTGTAAGACACAGCAAATAAATCCAGTTTATTTCCAGTGGATTTATTATTTTAGTTTGTATAATGAAATGGCAGCTAAATACATTTAAAAAAATCTTCCTGAAACTAAAAAGGGTTTTGAATTGTGTTAAACTGTTTCATAATGTAATTGTTCCTGTAAACCATTCCCGTCATGTGACATCCTTTCCTTTGGACTGACCACATCTTGTTTCCTGTGCATTTTTGAATTATAGAATTAATTTAAAAATAAGATTCAGGAAGTGCTGAAGTTCCTGTCTATTGAGCACGAAATTAGTATCAAGGGTCATTTTTGCCTGCAGTTTATCTGAAGCTAAGCAGACTTGAAGAGCTGGATCTCGTGGGGTTAGGGTTAGGTTAGGGTTAGGTCAGAACCGATCACATGATGCCCAAGGTCTTATGTGTCTGTCTCACACAGAGAGGAAATAATCATGTCAGGGGATGCAAGCATTCAAATGCTGGCCTTTTTACTATAATGGAGTCTGTACCCATTTCCCAGTAGGCAATGGGGAGATGTTTATATCAAAGTGTTGACTGCCATCTTGGGTGTCCAGAGATCAGAGCAATTAATTCATCTGCTGTGATAAAACAAGAAAAAAAAAACAATTAATCAGAAACTATAACAACAACAATATCAGTACTGCTACTACTACTACTAATAATAGTAATAATAAAGTCTGGTGTAATGTGTAGAATTCTTTAGAATGTGCAGTTGTTTCTGTTTTTAAGTACAAGGGCTCCTTACTAGGATCTGAATGGTGTTAAATTAATTTTAGTCTGCTGGGGTTGCAAAAAGGTATGTGACGGCAAAACACCTGCGATGTGTGAATCTATGTAATCATGCTCACTGAAAGACCCCTTTAGGCACTTCTGTGGGGCTTTAAAGGACAAGTGACCTTCAGCAGCAGGACACTTTCGCAGGAAACAGGCACGATGCCACGTCAATCATGGATTGATGCATTCGCAAGACAACCATCTTTGCGGCTACTTTAAGCTCAACAAATGCCACATCAACAAGCCACTGTGAAGCCTAATATATTTTCATATTTGTTTTTATCTTTCCGCACTAGCGGCCTGAGTGATATTTCTTAGACACGGCTGACACATACTGCGGTGACGGCTTCACCAGCATATTGCAGAAAGATCATTACTCAGGAGTTTAAATATTTTTATTGTAAATACATATACATTGATAGGCAGTAGATAATAGACAGCTCTGTTAACACCTTGAATCACTTCAAGACCAGATTTTGCATACTTGGCTGCCTTTGTTCTTCTTGGATAAAAACCAAAGCCAGAAACTTCAGTTTTGCTGCACTTCAGGGCTGTGAGGGTTCAGCCGGTTAGGACTCAGTGATAGGAAGGTTGCCAATTAAAATCCCAGAATGATGTCATCGTTGGGCCCCAGACCTGTAGCCTGTACTACGAAGCGGGGTTACTGGCTTATGGTGGTAACTTGTCGGATTTAAGGTACCACAGTTTAAATGGACTTGATATTCGTTCACTTACATTTTTCTCAGACTACCTTAAATACGACAAGTTACCCCGATGAGCCAGTAACCCGCTTCATAGTACAAGCCACAGGGCCCCCAACCCCCAGTCGCTTCAGGGACCGTCTGACCCTACTTTCTTAAATGTAGGTCACTTTGTATAGAAATGTCATATGTCTACTAAATTAAAAAAATGTATGATTTCCACCTACATGTGCCTCAAATGCATATAAACTCCATTGTATAAGTGAATAGTTTACTTTATCCTTGTGGCACTTGAAGCTGTGTATGTAGTTGAACTCCTAGGGCTTCCCCATTTCAAGCTAAAACTAAACAGGTCAACATAGAGTTGTTGTATCTCATTTGTTTTGACTTTTATTTTCAGTCACTGGATGTTATGGCAACAAAAAATATGTTATATTGTTGTGAGACAGTTGTAATTTAATATAAAGAAATATAAACAACGGCAATAAATCATAATGTCCAAAGAATATGGGTCCTATCTTATGTATGTGGCATAGCTTAATCTATATGGCATAGCTTTATGTATGTGGCATGGCTTTATGTATGTGGCATAGCTTTATGTATGTGGCATGGCTTTATGTATGTGGCATACCTGTAGCTTTATGTATGTGGCATAGCTTTAAGATTCCTCTGCATGTGATTTACCTTGCTGGCATCTTGCCCAGCGTGATCCCCTGCTTTATGTCCCAGGCTGCTTGGGATGAGCTCCTGATCCCACAGCCCAGTACTAGATAATGGTGAGAAAGTGGGAAGATGGATGGATGGATGGATGGATGTTAGCAGTATTTTAGCCAGCTGTTTGACATTTAGCATGCATTATTGTTCCACTTACAAAAACGTTTGCACACTAACGGAATGAAATCCTCAACAGAAAAAAAGAATAATTTAATCAATAGCATTTTGTTTGCACTTCCCTTCAATAAATACAAAAGTATACAAGTAAATTAAAAACATTAAGGGAAAGAGAGAGGAAGCGAGAGAGAGTATGATAGAGTAAATACTGATTTAATTAAATATGTTAGATGTGGTAGATCTTCAGCAGACAGTGTCAGTGGTGGCAGATAGTTGGCGCATATTTGTTTTGGCAGTTGGACACTTAGGAAGACATGATAACCTCAGCTTATTAAAGCAACAGTTTAACTGTAATTCCTTAAGCTGAATCAGGGGGTTGCCTAGGCAGGTATGAAAGCAGGAAGTGACTCTTTTTAAAAAGAGTACACATGGCAGTTAGTGTGTGTGTGTGTGTGTGTCTGCAGAGGTACATAGAGAAACATACTGAATGTGGAGTGAAATTGAGGTTAGACTAAAATATTAGTAACGAATGTAACTAATAGTAACTTTTATACAACCCTCAGCACTATTTAGCAGTAAGACGTTAGGGGTGCACACCATCCCTGAATTAGGCAACAAAAGCACTTTGATCCATCGCAGATTTATGTCAGACATGATTAGTGCCTCGCCAGCCCCTTGAACTCTGCTCAGCGTTACTCCTGGGACCTTCTGTCCTGACAAAATGTTGGGATCAGGAGGTTCGGCTTCAAGCTTTTAGCGACAAAAAGGCAGATGTGCTGGGGGTGTCAGAGCTGCCGCTGTATTATTCAAATCCCTCTGTTGCTTTTAAAGAAGTGAGCGCTGTAAAATGCCTTCCTCATTTCCCCCCCCTCGAAAAAAAAGCACTACCTAACAGATGAGAGCACAAAGTGTCCTTTTATATCTCGACTTTTTAAAAATCATGTACAGGATGAAATATTAAGAAAAACCTCCATTGTAACTCAATAAACACCCGTTGTTTTTCGGTTGTTCAGCTGTGATGGTATCAGTATCAATTCAACAATAATGTGTCATGCCAGTAATGAAATTAATATATCACTCAGTCACACTTTTTAAAAAAAAAAGAAAAAAAAAACCCTGACTCTTCAAAATGAATGAAATTGTCATCTTCACCTTTGTTCTCCTGCCTTTGAAGGCTCATTATATCAGTGACATGTGGTTCCTCAAGTCTTCACTTGTGAATTTCTGCATTAATCTGGCTTTATTCTTTGATGGTATTCAACTCGGAATTATTATCTCTGAAAAATCCCTGACAGCTGACCTACTGTTTTCATCTTCAAAACATATCAAGTATCGTCAGTATAAATTGCTTTAGTAAATGAAAAAACAAATTTTCCAGGCAAAAATTCATTTTCAGAAATGTTCAGAAATGAAGAAGTAGATTTGATATAATATCAAATTGTAAACGGTGATCGAGTGGATAATACTTTAGCCTCGCAACTCTACCATTGACAAGGATCGATTTCTGTCTCAGCTCTATGTGTGGGAAGTTACATATTTTCCCTCTGTCTATGTGAGTTTCCTCTGGGTACTCTGGTTACAGCAGTTTAGCTGAATTAGCATCTTTCCCATAGTACATGAGAGTGCGCCCTGAGATAGATCAGCACCATGTCAATAGTGTCCTCTATCTCATGTACTTTTCCCTGCCATTGGGTCTGGAAAACGGTTAGCTAAAACGATGGTGATAGAATGATAGTAATAGAATTGAGAAAATCTGCCTATATCTGTATGAATACAATATGATATAAAGGTAAAAAAAAGCAAAGAAACATTGTTCATGAATGCATTTTTGTGGTCTTGAAATGTGCTAAAAAGTCGTTTCATTTTAGTAGTGGATTTTCTTAATGGAGAAGCCACTGAAAGTAATTTCTTCCGGAATTTACAAAAAGTTCAAGAAATTGTCCAGCCATGTGTGACATGCTGAGTGGCCCTTATCATGGCGCACAAATCCGGGTGATGCCCGGTGCCAGGCCTCAGCACAGGGTCTGTTCTCTCCTTCTCTCTGTAGATGAGAACGTGGCTTATGTATTCCCAATAAATCTGCCAGGCTGTAATGAGCCCCTTTCAAGCAGATTCACGGCCACACTGACGGGTCAAATTGTCGGTGTGACTCGCTGGCGAGGAATTAAACGAAGGTCTGCCACATTCCTCCTGGGGTGTGCTGAGGGAGAGAGGACAGATTCGAACCACTTTGGCTCCCGCACTGTCATGACTTATGGTCTTTCAAGTGGATAATGAGCGAGCAGAGGAGCCTCGCGCGGGGTTACAGCAGTGAGGCGAGTCAGGGCATCACCACAGAGAAGCTCGTGTCTGAGTGCAAGCTTCACACACATTAGGCCAAATTAGCTACACAGCAAATAAATTACGCAAGGCGGTAGAAGCAGCCATTCTTTGAAAAATGCATATTACTCAAACACACACTACCATTGTCCAAATTATAATAACCAAAAAGACTAATAACAGAGATTAATATCTCACCTATAACTCATCCATTAAATAACAACTATTGAGCTGAAAAATTTCATAAGTTCCGTGTTGCTAATTTGCAGCATAGCGCCATGTAGGCTGAGAAATTGCAATAATAAAATATGAAATATTTCTGAACTCCAGTAGACCAGTGCAGTGGAGCAAAATGCCGCTGTTTTCAGTATCGGCATATGGGTCTCTCTCCAGGTAACGGTGTCCTGGTATGGCTCTGCTGTAAGAGGTCAACCAGGAATCACCGTGCCTTGCTCTTTAGCTTACATTATGTAACCCGCATATCTGAGACGACCAGGGGTAGGAGGGGCGTGGCTAAAAGAGTAACAGCAGGAAGAAAAATAAAACGGAGGGAAAAAAAGACAGCCACATCAAACAAGAAAAAAAAATTGCACCCTGCGCAAATTAAAAACTGCATATTTTTTCTTTTCATTCTTTCTCCTCCAAACATCCTCTCTCTCCTTTATTATGGAGAAACTCCACAATGTTAAACACCTGGCGTCTCCATTGTTCTTTTGTTTCCACTTTTCGAAGGGGGGGGAGTTACACCCAGAGATACTTCATCCTCAGTTAGAAATTGTGGGACGACCGTCATTTTCCTAAATTCCCACCAAGGAAATGAGGCCGTTTAGTCACTTTTAGTGACAAGGACCTGAATGTGTCAGTTTTTCTAAATAAAGCCCATTATGTCATTTCTTTTAGCCTTTTTTCAGTCACAAACATAAAGACACAGATACCTGACTATAAATTATTGAAGGACAGTTGATCGCTCAGAGATTTAGGTAGAAATACATGTATGATAAACATTTTCAGGGAACTGGATGATTTGGACTCATCATGCTAATTTGTTTTAATGCGGTTTTATGTCCAAATCTTGTTTGTTAATGCATGTTTTTGATGATTTAGTCCTGGGTGTTGAAAACATGCCTTGATACTATGTTACAAACACACATTATGTGTAAGTGTAACTTCGATCAAAGGTTCTGTAGTAGGGAGCTAGCTAATCATATACTGTAGCAGAGATCCTGATTATGTGCATGTAACATTGGTCTTCAGGGTACATTTCATAAAAATGTTACTACTATTATAGCTCAGTTCTGTGTATACAATTAAATCAGCCAGTCTCCTAATAAAAATTCATGATATTTTGGTTTTAGATTTATAGGGACTGTATGCAGACATCAATAGATAATAAAAAAATAAGTGGTCCTCACCACACTACCAGATGCGACACATGTATCTTGGAACATACAAATGACAGCTTGTCCTTCTGACCAAAGTACATGACTTTCTGTGGCAACACTTGGCTTTTCCTCTTCCCGCCTCTCTCCTTCCCCTTAGCAACTCCGCTCGGCGGTTTTGTTCAAATGCTCTACCGAAGTATGCGACAGGAAGTACTTACAATAGGGTTTTACAGTTCATTTACTCAATCGCTTGTTTACATGCAATAAATTGTTGTGAAAATCGCACTCAGATGAGCCGGAGCATTTGGAACCGATTATCAAATGTACTTACAATGAAGTGGTTGCTTTGCCTCGTAAGACCTCTTTCCGTTTAATTCAAATCAGCCCCCCCCGCCCCCCACCGCATGCGAGTAAATCAAACCCAACTTTGTCAGGCATAATCTATGCAGCTAGAATGAGGAGCTAAGAGTTTCAATATGACAAACCCATTGCCATCCTGAGAAGCCATGTAGTAGAGGGGCTTAGTGAAGTTAGATAGGGGTCTGTGTGAAAAACGAATTTACCGTTAGGGGGTTAGTATATCAAAATAAGCCTGAATGCCAAAAAGCATCAGGTAAAGCAGCGTTTCAGCAGAATATGCTTAGAAATGATCCCCTTGCAGGATGGAGAGCTGCATGCCCTGGCTCTGGTCTCCTGTTATCGGATAGTACCTTTGAACATCTGTGCTTGTTTGTGTGTTTATTCATTTAATAGCCTCTTGGTGAAATGTTATAGCCCTGAAATTTAGCCTAAAACTGTAGAAGTAAAACTAAAAATACAAATGTTTGCAAGTTCAGATCCACACAGCAATGCCCCAAATATGATCCCTGGACACTTTTGGCAAAGAAATATTAACTCTTTCTGTATAAAGGGAAAAATAAATGCAAAACATATGTATGCTGTATATAATTCAGTTATTTTATTTTGCTTGTTAGTAAACTGTACAGACTATGGAAAAACAAGATTTAAAATAGCAATTCCGTTGTACTGTGTAGTTCCTTTTATATGACACGGCCAATACATGTATGGCAAACATTTTTCTTTTGCTTCTAAATAATATCCTATTCCCATGCATGTCAATCCCTTTTATAAAAACATGTTTTCACTAAAATCCTTTACTATTTGTCCACTGTAGTTTTTCCTTTTTTTGGACCTTCAAAGATGACTGCAGGAATCCCTGGGGAGGGAGGGGGGGGGCTGGGCAGTTTTCCCACAATGTAACAGCGACTTTCAGCGACAAATAACAGGGACTTGTCACATCCAAGGGCAACAGCTATACAGATGGATATATAACAAGGATCATGTCTCTATTGAGAAAAGAAGCATCACAGGACAGGATGAGGGGGCAGACTCAAGCATCAGTATTATGCATTTACCATTAAGATTTTTACCTTGCTGCTACAGGGTACTATTCATTTAAATGAGAGTTTTACAGAGGAATCCAAGAGACCTAATTCCCATAATTAGAGGCTTTTTTTTATCTTGAGTAATGTAATGTATGATTTTAACCCAACACTGTCAAAATGGTAAAGAATCACTTGATTTGTAGGGTTTTTTTTTCCTTAAATGGTTTTTTTGTTTGTTTCTTTGTGAGATTCCCACAAACATTTGCAGTTAAACTCCTCGGAAGTAGCTTTAAGTTAATAGCTTTTCAGAGTGACTCACAGTTTGTTGATGAACTGACACAGTGACTTATCAGCACCTGTTATACAACAAGAGGCAGACTCTTGTGTCAAAACTTCATCCTCCCAGGATTCAACAAAAAGCAAATACAGACGTCCAATTTTTTCTCAGTTATGCTCAAAAAAAATGAGACTCAGGAAAGGCTGCAGCAGAATCCATGAAACAGAGTTTTTCAAAGTGAAGTATGTGAAATAATGCAATAAATCACAGACAAAAGGCTGTGTTCAATTTCATGTCTCTGAACTTCACAAAAGTGCAGCAGGCAAGTATGATGAATTTAAAAGGATTAATATTAATTGAAGGCAAGGGAACATTATTCCAGTCAAACAATGATAGCGATCAATATTGTAACGTAACACAGCTACAGTGTGGCGTATAGTCACGGCTAAGTAACTGGGCATCTCACATACTGTCACGCATCGCTTCCTAACAGGGATGCGCTTTGAGAAATGTGTCAGTAGGGGATTTTGTCATTGTGCAAACTTCATTGAATATATTTACACACTACAGTTCTGGAAAAAATTAGGAGACCACAGCATCATTTTAGTTTCATTCATTTCTCAATTTATAGGTATCTTTTTGTGTAAAACATATCTTTTTTTTGTAAACTCCAGCCTGGCTCTTCTCTGTTTCCCATTGATGACAGGCTTCTTTCTTGCTTTATGGATTTTCAGTCCTGCTTCTAGGAGCCTGTTATGAACTGTCCTAGCAATGCATTTCACACAACTTTATGTTTCCCATTCTTTTATAAACCCACTTGATGTCATCCTCCAATTCATGAGAAACTATCAGATAAATTGATGATCACTTCATCAATTTATCTCCCATCTACCTGGCTGGTTTTCGGTCATTCCCAGTGTCTCCTGTTTCACATTGTTCTTGTGTAGTGCGGTCATAGAAATTTTCAGCCTGGAAGCAACCTGCCGCCCAGTATAGCCTTCTGCCAGTATAATCAGGATTAAACTAGGAATTAACAATGTGGATTCTTAAAAAATATGGAGTGGTCTCATAATATTTTATAGAGCTGTGTGTATAACACTTCATACTGTTTTACAGTAAACTTTTTCATAAGGAGAAAGAGTACACTTTAAAATAGTGATAAAAAGTACATTATAGTAAATATAGAAAACAGTAACAATCTTGTTTATTATCATTGCCACGTAGTATAATCTTAGGCGGTCCATCGTTGACCAAAACATCGTCATGTGGCGTATGACTATATTAATCTCATTGCATGTTTCACTGAATCCATCCATCCATTTTCCATTAACTTTTTGTTGAATAAAGGGGCAGAGTGAGCCTAGAGGCTTCCCAGGAATCACAGGGTACGAGGCAGGAGAAACTTGGGACAGGATGGCAGTCGATTGCGGGGCAATTTACAGACACCCGTTTACATAACTGAGCATGTTTGGCAGGACACTGGAACACTTGAAGGAAACCCACATAAACACTGGGGGAAGAGGCAAACTCCACACGCTGTACCCACAGCCCTGAAGGTAAGAAGGGGAAATGCTAAACACTGACTACTGCACCATCCTCAACAAACAACATTATCAACAAGCCAACAAATACATGGTAGCAGATCAAGGCAAACCTGTCCTCTATGGCTGTCCCAGAAGCTATGGGCTCAAGGCAGGTAATAACCCAGGATGGGGCGCCAACCTGTCAGAGGGCATACACCATATGGTAACTGCAATTCACCTTAGCATGGGCTGTAGGGGAAACCGGAGTACCCAGAGGAAAGCCACCACACGGGGGGACAAATGCAAACCTTACACACGTGGAGCCAACAAGCAGATGCTCAAATCCCGGTCCCAGAGGTGTGAGGCAACAGTGCTAACAGTGGGCCACCATGCCGCCCCCCCCCCAAAGGCAAACCATTTATTCAAAAGCTTTGATGGATAAGACTGGGAACCTGTAGATGCTAAAAAAGAATAACATCCACATATGCTTTCACACTGAGGTCTCACGCCTGAAAAATATTCTTCAATCTCAACAGGATTACCAGATAAAACAAAATATAAACCCAAATTTAATAATAATTCCACCCATAACAATTAAACCTATGCAGAGCTACCCTGAGCTTTGAACTCTGCTAAGCACAAGACACAAAGCAGGACACATCATTGACAGGATGAGAATCCAGCACAAAGACAGAAACACAATTGTTTTAGTCATTTGGGGTATAGAATGAAAATGGGAGTTCTTAGGGGAACATTGTGTACCCACTTGAACCCTGAGAGAATATGCAAAAGGCACGCATTGAGATTTTACTTGAAGACACACAATCCTGGCAATGAACGAGCACAGCTCTACCCACTGAGTAATCATGCCGCAAATGGTACTGATATTCCCAAAAAAAAATTAGCAGCTAAAGTTTTTCCATAACTACTCAGTCATAATCTTAAACGCTTCTCAATATATGTGAAGTACAGACGCCTGCTATATATAACTACCAGTTTAAAATATTAACATTTTTGGGCCACAATTGTTTATGTGAAACAAATCAGCTAATCAGCAAACTAATATTTAACCTATTAAAATTAATAATTAACTAGACTGATTTTAAGATATAGTTTTTGTTTCAATGAAGGACAAAGCAATGAAGAACTTTTATATTCCTACAGGATCATTGCATGATCATTGATTCTAGTTAAGAGTGAGACACACACACAGACACAGACACAGTCCATGTATTCATATCTTTGTGGGGACTCTACGTTCATTTCTATGGGCATAACCTTGCTCCAAAGAATGACAACCTTAAACCCCACCCAGCCTTAACCTCAAGCATCATTTCCCAAACAAAATACAAAAGACTCTTGTCATTTTTACTTTTTTGTTTGCAGTTTATTATGATTACTATAAAAATGATTATAAATTTGAGGTCACCCTTGTGGGGACCAAAAAAATGTCCCCACAAGGTAAAAAGTTACAGGTTTTTATCAGCTTGTGGAAAAATTGGGTCCCCGTAATGTAATAATTACAAAAATACATCTAGGTGTGTTTTTCCCTGCTCTGATGGGTCCTTCCGCACAAAACTGAGCTGCTTTCCTGTTCCTGGGAGCATCTGTGCCACATATTCACTCAACAGACTCAGGATGTTTCGTTTTTGTCACAGTACAAATATGCACCCTTGCATGAAAACCGGATCACACAGCGAGGCTGTTTAATCATGCCAATTTTTGCTTACCAAAACAGTACACAAACTATGGGAAGCTCACAAAGTACTGTAATATACTGTCTACTGTCTATATGGGATGGCCACCCTCATTTACCCTATTACTCTGATCCTACATGTTCAATTGATTGGATTATAGCAGTGTAATTATTTATAGTAACGAAACACAATTCAAACAATACATATCTCTTGCCACAATGCCTGTATACACCTTAAAAAATCTGTATGAAAAATATGCTACAGTATACCTGGTGTCTTTGGCAATAGATATATTTAAAAATTTAATTGAATGAAAAGTTAAGTAAAACCATACAATCATTATAAAGCACTTTCTTTTTTCTTTGTTTCTTTTTGAGTGACATTCAACTTATTTGTAATTCCTGCTCACGTCGCAAAGCAAAATGCAAAATGTACTTAAAAATATACGCTGAGAAAACACACTGGCGAGATCAGTTACCTGGAATCTGAGACGCCTTCGAAAGAAAAGAATTGTTGAGCTATATGGGCTGGTCAGGTGACCCTGTCACCTCTCTGTTGGTCAGCAGGGAGCTTAGGGTGTGGAGTCAGACCCTCAGGCCACAGGGGTCTAACTACACCCCCGCTAAAGTGCCACTGGACACCTGTCCCCAAAAAGCTCACCCTGTTCCTTTTGTTTGTATGATATACCACCAC